TGGAATTATTTGGGATCATCCTTGGTTGTTCCCAGGTTGATTCCCAAGGTCCTTGCTAGCTAGAGCTATAGATTCCTTCTCTGTTTGTACCTGAATATAGTCAATTGATTCAAGTGAATTCCTTCCTCGCTGGAGTTTCGTTTCTGCGCTATTCGACGGCGGAATGCTACCCGAGTCAATGCTAGTATGCTAGCACTCCAACGCTAGGCAAACGCTCTCCGAGCCATAACTTAGTAATGGCAGAACTTTTCGCGAGGCAACTTGGCTTATTTTAAAGCTCTTGGAGCGAGCTTCGTTATAGCGGGTTTTCAGCTTAATCCAATTGACGGTCTGCACGGCTCGCTGCGCGACGTTCAAGGTACTCTCGTTATTTTGGCTAAGTCATTCTTAACTCCTCTCTCTACAAACTCGGACCCGATGATAGGGGCTGGTCTTGTACCAGGCACCCAGGGACCCTTGGAGGTGACCCCGAGGAGAGGTTTTAAGTTTGATTAAGTCTTAATAGCTTGAGTTTATTAGGCCCTTACACCAACAATATCCATGGCCGCATGAGTAACTAGCTCGTTCTTCCCCGCCGTCGTGCAGCTTCTAGAACCCCAAGACACCCTTCTCCCCCGATATTACACTCTAAAAACAGGGGAGCAATTACAGGGCGAACCCTGGCTAGGCAAGCACCTTGAGACGTGCAAGGTTTGGAAATGTGGCGATTAGTCTAGGGACGACTCGGAAGCTGTTAGTAGGGCCAAAAGTGTTGGCCGAACCTAATTGACGCGATGGCTTCGGGATGTCCCACTTAGGTCAGACTAGAGTAATGAACTATAACTCATTACGCAATCTCCATTCTTCAATTGCATTGCACCCAGAATAATACTAGTGCTGGCAATCCTGAGCAAAATAGTGTGCCATCAAGGAAACGTTGTCATTGCGCACCAATTGGCCGTTCATCGCGCCGTTCCCTCGCACTGTTGTGCTCCCCTGGCGACTCATTGTCCTCCTGTTTCCCACCACCTCCGCGTCCCACTCCTCCGCACGGCTCTTTTCGCCTCCCCGGGCAGATTAAGTGCAGGCCGCGTTCTTCTCCCGCTGCCATCGCACCCATTGCGTCCGCGCGGGTCGCGATGGCCTCCCCCCCCCCTCCTGCACGTCCTCTTTGCCTCATTTCCCTAGATTCCCCTCGGCCGTCGTGCCTCACCACGCTGCTGCCTCCGTCATGCCACGACACTTCACACCCCCGCCCTCACTCTTCTCCTCTCATCGCTCTCCCCCATCGCTCACAATCGCTCTCCCCCATCGCTCTCCCCCATCACTCTCCCCCATCGCTCTTTCTTGCGTGTGTGCGCTTCCCCCCCCCCCTCCCTCCACCAGCCCCGCGCGTCACTAATTTGTCAAACAGTGTGTGTATTGATAAGGAATATTAAAGATATGCATGGTTCTAGTAAACAACAACAAGCAAATATAATGGAAACTAAACTCTCTTCCGCTCCTTACCCTCATCGGAAAAATGTGTCGAGTGGATCGAAGTGTTTTAGAAATGTTCGGGTAGTTGGGGTTGGGTTCTGGATAATTTTTGTGCAAACTGTGTATGTCAGATGAGTTAGACCGATTGTCACCCACGATCGACCTCTCCCTCATTGGGATTCGAATGGTTGATTCCAGTTCAAACCATCTGCAATTTAAGTTGCTCGATCTACGGGGTGCACAGTGCATAATCATGTTGAGTTTAGTTCGTATATGGCCATTGAGGAGGAAATCTGGCGGATTGCATGCCGTGAAAATCGAAGCAAGATTCCTTGTTGCAAGTGGTGGCGAAATGGATGAACAACAATGTAGTGAAGTAATCAGGTGGCACTCTAACAAGATATAAATTGTATATTTTGGATCACAATCCGAATAGCGAATCGCAATTCATATCATTAGTATATGCTTATTTATATAAATATGTTCAATTGGGGACTAATTTCGCACAATTTCACAAGTGAACATGTTTATGTTTAAAATAGGTAGTGAGTTGATTCGTACGGAATATACTGAATATATCAGGGTGATGAGATTGAGACGACAAATCAAGAAACCACTAAGAATTGTATTAACACTAACTTTACATCAATGTCAATAAGCACTAAATGCCATGCAGGTAATGAACTACAGGGCCTCCACGGTGAAACAGAACGTTAAAACAAGAAAACTACACGAATGTAACTCATGACTTACCATGTCAAACCGTCATCATGAAATCTCGCAAAGATGCAAGCAAAACAGGTGGCCTACAAGCAAAAAGAGACGGTCGATGGGGGGAGGGTACAGTCGATTGCAACTGTCTAAGGTAAGGATCTGGACGTGCTGAAGGAGTGCAATGTCCATGGCCGCATGAGTAACTAACTCGTTTTTCTGCCACCGTCGTGTAGCTCCTTGAACACCAAGACACCCTTCTCCCCCGGTATTACACTCGAAAAAGAGGGAAGCAATTATAGGGTGAACCCGGGCTAGGCGAGGACCTTGAGACGTGCAAGGTTTGGAAATGTAACGATTGGTGTGGGGGCGACTCGGAAGTGGTTAGTAGGGCCGAATGTGTTGGCCGAGCCTAACCGACGCGATGGCTTCAGGATGTCTCCACTTAAGACAGACTAGAGTTATGAACTATAATTTATTACGCAATCTTCATTATTCAATTGCATTGCTCCCAAAATAATGATAGTGCTGGCAGTCAATTGCATTGCGTCCGCGCAGCTCGCAATGGCCTCCCCCCACTCCTGCGCGTTCTTTTTGCCCCCTTTCCCCATATTTCCAATCGCTGCGCCTCGGCCGTCGTTCCTCACCGCGCTGCTGCCTTTGTCGTGTCGTGCCACTTCATATCCCCGCGCTCACCTCTTCTCCCCTCATCGCTCTCCCCCATCGCTCTCCCACATCGCTCTCCCCTATCGCTCTTCCCCATCACTCTCCCCCATTGCTGTTCCCTGCATGTGCACGCTTACTCTCCCCCTCCCTCCACCGGCCCCGCGCATCACTAACCTCTCCAACGGTCTGTGTATTGATAAAGGAGATTAAAGATATGCATGGGTCTAGTAAACAACGACAAGCAAATATCATGCAAACTAATCTCTCTCCCACTTCTTACCGTCATCAGAAAGTTGTGTCGACTGGATTGGGGTGTTTTAGAAGAGTTTGGGTAGTTGGGGTTGGGTTCTGGCTAATTTTCGTGCAGACTGTGTATGTGAGATATGTTAGACCGATTGTCACCCCCGATCGACCACTCCCTCGATGGGATTCGAATAGTTGATTCCAGCTCAAACTGTCTGCGCTTGAAGTTGCTCGATCTACGGGTTGCACAGTACATAGCCTTGTTGAGTTCAGTTCGTATATAGCCATTGACAAGCAAATCTGGTGGATTGCACGACGTAAAAATCGAAGCGTGATTCCCTGTTGCAAGTGGTGGCGAAATGGAGGAACAATATTGTAGAAAAGTAATCAGGTGCCACTATAACAAGATATAAATTATATATCTTGAACGCAATCCATATAATGATTTGCAAATATAATCAACATATGTTTAGATATAAACACTAAATGCTATGCAGGTGATGAACTACAGGGCCTGCACGGTGAACAGGACGTTGAAACAAGAAAACTGCAAGTATGTAACTCATAACTTACCATGTGCAACCGTCATCATGAAATCCCACAAAGATGCAAGCAAAACGCATGGCCTACAAGCAAAAAGAGATGGACTGCAAGCAAAAGTAGCCTGCAAACAAAAACAGACGGTCGTCAAGCAAAAACAGATGGCCTGCAAGCAAAAGCAGATGGCCTGCGAGAAAAAACAGAGGGCCTGCAAGCAAAAACAGACGCTAAACAAAAACGACAAACAACAAGTAATAACATGCATTCATAACTTAGCAGGCTACCACACTTGCCAGTGCAAAGCGTCGAGCGCCACCATGTCTGACTCAATAAGATACAGGAAAACAACATAGTGTCACCGTAGTAAGTTAGTGATTACAGATCGATACGACGTCGACTGAAAGCACTTATGTTCGGCGACTGGAGGAAATGAGTTGCGGACGAACAGTTAGTAGCTAAGGCAAAAAGGCGAGAAGGACTTTACTCACAAAAGTGCCTTCACTAACAGCTCGTCGACGAGAACTGGTTGAGCTAAGAGCCTAGTGCTCGTAAAAACGATCCGACTGAGATGATGAACAAGGCAGTACCAGGATGCATGAACTCTCCTCATCACTGAGAGCCAGGCGATGCGACGAAACCTGCCACTGGCGCTGCAACCGCCAGCGTGGCGTCGAAGATGTTGATTCACTAGTTGAGCAGCGGTATACGTAAACGGAATTGGCAGCACTGTCACGAGCCTTTACAACTATTGGGCACAGTGGCACTTTGAGTGCAAAGCATTGTCCAGTGGTGACACCGTTCTGAGCACCGATTGGCCACAATTGCATTTCTGGGTCTCATGAGGTGTACATAAATAAATACGTCGACGAATCGAACTGGCTCGCTGAGTGCTGTCAGCTCGACAAATATGGATATTGTTACAACACTGCAGTTTCAAGACCCCACTCTACACATTTTTCTCAAACAAATACCTACCTATTTACATGAAGTTTGCATCAAATATCCACTTTCCAGAACCAACAAATAACAACACAAATAGTCATGATAATAGGTGAAACCTGACCACATGGAACAAAAGGCGAAAAAATGGTATGCTTATAACTGTTTTGCGTATATTCCATAAAATATACCTAATACTACACAACATATGGATGCAAAAGTACAAAATTTATTACATATGTATATATAGCTTAACGTAAATACTTATAAGTTCATATAATGTGTGTATATGTCTCCAATCACATTTGTCATCTTTTTCGCATCGAAACAGAAGATATGTGTTAAATAATAACCATGTGCACCAAATGTTCCTATGTATCTTATCCATATCCTTGCAAATCAACTTCCTTGACATATTTTGAAATCTATTTACATTATCCGATTCATAGCAGATCGACTGGGACCGGTGCAGGAAGCGGTGTGAGCTCAGTACTGTCTCGAAAGAAGCAGCGGGAAGCACCTGAGTCAAGGGTGAAGGTGTGACAGGTCTCAGCCGGTGCAGTACCTGAGAGAGCAGTCTCTGTGGGTGCTGTACCTGAGAGAGCAGACTCGCAAGCAGCAGGGACAGTGCTGGAGGGAGCAGGTACAGGGGGCACCATACCAGAGAGAGCAGACTCACTAGTACCTAGGGCAGCGGGCCCTATACCTGGGTCAGGCGGCACACACAAGTAACAGTCTCCCTCGGCACTAACAGTCAATGCATACATGGCAGCAATAATGGCATCATAGTCAAGAGCAAAGATATCAACACCAGCCCTCATCAGCTCAGCCCAGCGAGGGCGCTCAACATCCTCGCCCATCTCCTCACGCCAAGCGTCGTCAAGGCGGAAGAAGCAGCGGTACTGAGTGTGGAACTTTCCACACGTCTGCCCCTTGCGATCACCTGTGCGAATGACATAGGAACAGCGGCCACTGCCCCCCGACGTCCCACGCTGAGCAAGCCACTCACGAAGCTGCTGGGTCGTCTGGGGACGCTGCTGCTGCTGGGAGCTCTGGCCCGAGCCGGTGCCTCCACTCCGACCTCCACCGCCGCCACTACCTCCGCTCCGACCGCCACCACCGCCACCGCCACCGCCACTACCGCCACCGCCGCCACTGCCGCCGCTGCCACCACCGCCACTGCTCCCGCCGCCGCCCCCGCCTCCGCCGCCGGCCCCACTCCCACCGGCACTCCCGCCACCGCTCCCTCCAGCACCGCCTCCCCCCCCACCTCCCCCACCCCCTCCCCCCCCAGCGCCACCCCCGCCACCCTTGCCCCCCTTGCCCTTGCCGGTGCGGCGCCTCCCACCAGGAGCAGAAGCAGCGCCAGCAGACTCAGCACCAAGGAAGTCAACAGCAGCAGCAGTAGCATAGGAGGGAGCGAGGGGAGAGGGAGAGCACCCCTCAAAGATGGGGGTGCGAGGAGCGCCGCGAGCAGCACCTACAGCTACAATGCTCTTCTCGGCTGCTAGCAGCTTCTCCTCTAGGAGGGCTCCTCTTCTCGTGAGCTCAGTGGGACAGCGAGCAAGGAAATAGTCGCGCACTGAGCTGAGGGTGTCAGGGAGACGGGTGACTATGAAGTGGAGTGCCCAGTACAGGGGAGGGGGGTTCTTAGCGCAGAATTAGGTGGGAAGGGCGGCACGCAGGCGAGCATCACTAGTGCGAAGGTGGGTGATAAGATCGGCGACTGTAGCAAAGGCGGACAGGTCAGGGAACAGGTAAGGCAGCATGAGACGGCTAAGCTCGGCTGTGGCAGGTGAGGAGTAGCGAGCAACGACAGCGTCATATAGGGCTTTAGCGGTTTTGCAGTCGCCAAAGTGCTCTAGCTCAGCTAACGGCAGGTGACTGCGAATAGCCAGGCGAGCTGCAGCGTCACGAGTCTGCCACTGTGAACGTACACTAAGCTCGGCTGTGGCAGCAGGAGCAGCGGCAGCACCAGACGCGTAGTCATAGAGGGAGATGTGGTCCGTGCTATTGCTCATAAGATACAACTGCAGGTCGTCGAGCCAGGAAGTGAACTGCACGGGACGGCCCTCAGCATCGAAGGAAAGAACGCGAATAGAGGCCATAGCTCAGGCGTGAGGGCACAGCAGAGCAGCGGCAGCAGCAGAGGGGACGCGCTAGAGCGAAGCTAGTAGCCACAGCAGGAGCAAGCGGCGGTGCACAGGCAGGGAGCAGCAGGCGAGGCGGGCGGCGCTGCAGGCGGGAAGTGCGGCGGGCGGGCTGCGAAGCGGGCAGCGGGGCGGGCGGGCGACGCGGCGAGCGGGCAGCGCGGCGGGCGGCTGCGAAGCGGGCAGCGGGCGGGCGGGCGACGCTGCAAGCGGGCAGCGGGCGGGCGGGCGACGCTGCAAGCGGGCAGCGAGGCGGGAGGGCGACGCTGCGAGCAGGCAGCGCGGCGGGCGGGCGACGCTGCGAGCGGGCAGCGAGCGAGCGGGCGACGCTGCGACGCGGGCAGCGGGCGGGCGGGCGACGCTGCGAGCGGGCAGCAAGCGGGCGGGCGACGCTGCGAAGCAGGTAGCGGGCGGGCGGGCGACGCTGCGAGCGGGCAGCGAGCGAGCGGGCGGGCCGTGAAGCGGGCAGCGAGCGGGCGGGCGGGCTGCGAAGCGGGCAGCGGGGCGGGCGGGCTGCGAAGCGGGCAGCGGGGCGAGCGGGCGACGCTGCGAGCAGGCAGCGCGGCGGGCGGGCGGCGAGCGGGCAGCGTGGCGGGCGGGCGACGCTGCGAGCAGGCGGCTCGGCGGGCGGGCGACGCTGCGAGGGGCGCGCGAGGGCGCTAACGAGGGGCGCTCGAGGGCGCTAGTGAGGGCGCGCGAGGGCGCTAACGAGGGGCGCGCGAGGGCGCTAACGAGGGCGCGCGAGGGCGCTAACGAGGGCGCGCGAGGGCGCTAACGAGGACGCACGAGGGCGCTACGAGGCTAGGGCACGGGGTAGCGTGGTAACCGCATGCGAGCGGTGGTGGGCCCTTAAAAGAAACGGTCGATAGGTCCTAGGGACCTCCTGCTCTGAATACCATATCAACAGGACTAAGCAAGAATGTGTCATTGAATGGAAGAATTGGGTACAAGTAGCTAACCCTAGTTGGGGTTGTACCCCATACTGGCTACCCCACTACAGCCTACCAACATAACACAGTTTAACACTATTATGGCATCTAATTATACTACGGTACATCTCATGTCAGATCTCTATCAATAGCTGAATTATTTTTTGCATACGAGGGGTTACATCAAGCAAACATGTATCTTGTATTGTGCAAGAAAGACTACCTTGCGTAAAGAATTCTCAAGCAAATGCATGAATGTTGACAACATCTTCCTTTAAATCGTACAAGGCATCAGATGATGGTAGTACCGCATGTTAACCTTTAAAAACATTGCGCTTATTATTTCGTTACAACGTCAATCATACGTGCATCTTCAACCCATCAAATCCAAAACCCCAATAGTGATCAAAAGTATGGTATTCTGACATCTAGTTCCATCTTTTGGTATAAGGGCCTAATAAACTCAAGCTATTAGGACTTAATCAAACTTAAAACCTCTCCTCGGGGTCACCTCCAAGGGTCCCTGGGTGCCTGGTACAAGACCAGCCCCTATCCTCGGGTCCGAGTTTGTAGAGAGAGGGATCAAGAAGGACTTAGTCAAAACAGCAAGAGTACCTTGAACGTCGCGCAGCGTGCCGTGCAGACCGTCGATCGGATAAAGCTGAGAATGTGCTATATCGAAGCTCACTCAAAGAGCTTTAAAATAAGCCAAGTTATGGCTCGCGAATAGTTCTGCCTTTACTAAGTTATGGCTCGGACAGCGTTTGCCTAGCGTTGGAGTGCTAGCATACTAGCGTTGACTCGGGTAGCATTCCGCCGTCGAATAGCGTAGAAACGAAATTCCAGCAAGGAAGGAATTCGCTTGAATCAATTGACTATATTCAGGTACAAACAGAGAAGGAATATATAGTTCTAGCTAGCAAGGACCTTGAGAATCAACCTGGGAACAACAGGGGATGATCCCAAATAATTCCAAGCAACAGAACCAACCTGGCTGGACAAAATAGCAGGTTGTAGGTTGGTAAACAACCTCTGGTTCTGTTTTTCCAACCTGGGAAAACAACAACCAGGTTCAGGTTCTAAAAACAGAACCTGTTTTATCTTTGCCCAACCAGCCAAATGCTGGTTCCACTGGTTTCCCCTGGCCCTGTAGCATGCAGATACAGACAAACAACATCCAACCTTCACCCAAATTGTACCCCTATAGTGCCTGCCCTGCTACACTATAGTCAACCAAACAAAACAGTACAATTTCGAGTTAGATAGAACTGAATCTGCGTAATGAATTTAACCGAACCGCAAAGCTTCCATCTTGGGTTCCTTTGCGAGCTCGTCCTTTCTGCTTGCACTGTTCATAGCGCGTACAATGTTGTGCCGAAGCGCACATTGCGCGAGTACCTGCAAATGCATCAAGCGAAAATTGCGAAAACAAACAAACACACGAACATTCCATTCACACCCAAATGCATTCGCACACACATACTCGTACAAACAGACGGCAGGATGTCGTGCAATGTAAATTTGCACCCAACATCCCTGGGTGCCTGGTACAAGACCAGCCCCTATCCTCGGGTCCGAGTTTGTAGAGAGAGGAGCTAAGAAAGACTTAGCCAAAATAACAAGAGTACCTTGAACGTCGCGCAGCGTGCCGTGCAGACCGTCGATCGGATTAAGCTGAGAATTTGCTATAACGAAGCTCGCTCCAAGAGCTTTTAAATAAGCCAAGTTGCCTCGCGAAAAGTTCTGCCATTACTAAGTTCTGGCTCGGACAGCGTTTGCCTAGCATTGGAGTGCTAGCATACTAGCGTTGACTCGGGTAGCATTCCGCCGTCGAATAGCGCAGAAACGAAACTCCAGCGAGGAAGGAATTTGCTTGAATCAATTTGAACCTGGTTGTTGTTTTCCCAGGTTGGAAAAACAGAACCAGAGGTTGTTTACCAACCTACCACCTGCTATTTTGTCCAGCCAGGTTGGTTCTGTTGCTTGGAATTATTTGGGATCATCCCTGGTTGTTCCCAGGTTGATTCCCAAGGTCCTTGCTAGCTAGAACTATTTAATCCTTCTCTGTTTGTACCTGAATATAGTCAAATTGATTCATGTGAATTCCTTCCTCGCTGGAATTTCGTTTCTACGCGGTTCGTTGGCGGAATGCTACCCGAGTCAACGCTAGTACGCTAGCACTCTAATGCTAGGCAAACACCGTCTGAGCCATAACTTCGTAATGGCAGAACTTTTCGCGAGGCAACTTGGCTCATTTTAAAGCTCTTGGAGCGAGCTTCGATATAGCGAATTCTCAGCTTAATCCGATCGACGGTCTGCACGGCACGCTGCGCGACGTTCAAGGTACTCTTGTTGTTTTGACTAAGTCCTTCTTGATCCCTCTCTCTACAAACTCGGACCCGAGGATAGGGGCTGGTCTTGTACCAGGCACCCAGGGACCCTTGGAGGTGACCCCGAGGAGAGGTTTTAAGTTTGATTAAGTCCTAATAGCTTGAGTTTATTAGGCCCTTACACCAACAAGCTGGTATCAGAGCCGCGTTATAGTGATCCTCGTTATAGGTAGCTATGGCGGGCAACACCTCGGCGGGAGCTGGTGAATCTTCAGCCCAAGATCGTAGCGGCAGCCAAGATTCTGGTCTTTCAGCGCCAAGGGGAGCGCGAACAAACCAGGGCTCGCTTGTCAAGGAGGTGCTGAAGAATTTCACCGTCGAGAAGTTCAATGGTGAGGGCTATGATGATTGGGCCTGGAAAATGCAATTATATTTCCGTCAGATCGGTTTGCTGAAACTAATGATTGGGGAGGAGCCTAGACCGAGTGACCCCACGCTGCAGGAAGATTGGGACGAGCGCTCCTCGGCTGGCTACTATTTGATGTCGCAGAGTTTGGAGCTGAACCAGCGTCACCACGTTATGCACCTGCTGCCGGAGGTTGAATGCGGTCCGAAGGCGTGGACCGTGTTGAAGGAGCTGCACGCCCCGACCTCCGTTGTCGCAACGTTGATGCTGGAGAGGGAGCTGTCCGCGTTGCGCCTGAGCGAGGGAGAGCCGGTGCAACCAGTCCTGGACAAGATGCGCGACCTCTACGCGAAGTTGGCGACCGCGGGAATCACCTATCCGGAGCAGACCAAGTGCTTGAAGATGCTCTCGCTGCTGCCAGAATCGTGGCTTCAATTTACGAGCGGATTGAGCCTGCCGCAGAACCAGAGCTTGTGGACGCTCGAGTGGGTGCGGACGAAGATTCTGGAGGAGGACTTCCGTCGCCGCCAACTGAGGGGTGGAGACGACGGCAGCAGCGGCTACGGGATGCAAGGGAGCCGACGTGGCAGAGGACGTGGCTTCGGTGGTGCTGGACGCGGTGCAAAGAAAGACGACGACTCCAACGACCAACAAGGAGGTACCGGTTGGGGTCGCGGTGCGAAATCTGGACGTGGGGGCAAGTCGGGTGCTGGTGGCAAAATGAAAGGGAGTTGCTGGTATTGTGAGAAGGAAGGGCACCCCTGGTTTTTGTGCTATAAGAAACCCGATGGATGGACCCCCCAGAATCGTCACCAGGATGGCGGCGCGCGGAGGAACCAGAAAAACGGCGCCAACATGGTCGCTGATTCGTCCGACAACAACCCGAAGGGCAACGGCGGTGCGGAGAAGAAGAAGGAGCGCACCGCGGGCCAATTCTTCCATGTGGGAGACAAGGGGGAGCAAGGAGACGCCTCTGCCAAAGTTGGAGCAGAGCTGCACCCCCTAGACTATTGGGTGTTGGACACAGGCGCTGCTTGGACGATGACGCCGCGCAAGGACCTGCTGGACGAAGTACGAGCTGCACCGATCAATGAAGTGTGCTCCGCCTCTGGACACATGTTGAAGGTGGCTGGTGCGGGACGAGCTGCGTTTAAGGGAGCGGATGGCAAGCCGGTGGTGCTGCACGACGTTCTCTTCGTCCCCGACCTGAAGGCCAACCTTATCTCCCTCCGTAAGCTTGGCAAGGCTGGGGTGAACACCAACACGGATGGGGCACGCACTTATAAGGGGAAG